GTCAGCTCTCCAAGATGGTGGCCGCTGGCCTCCTCTGTGATCTGACCGGTGTGGAGAACCGAATTGGACCGCTTCCTTCCCCCGTCTCAAACCCAGAATTCAGCACTGAGTACGGTGCTTGCATGGCTGGCAGAAACTGCAGTGCTGTATCCCTGCGTCGCTATCTCCTCGTTTCCCAGCGCGTGCTGCAGACTCTAGCCGCGGGGCGATTTGCTGAATAAGCAGTGTTACCCTCCGTGCGACAAGTCTCTCGCGTTTGAGTCCCCGCAGCCGATCCTTGTGCGATGGAAATCCTTCCTCCAGGTTCTGGAGCACCCCACTATTGCTGGAAATTCCTAACAAGATAGCCTTTAGCAGTCCTGACTCGTCATTCTCCCACACAGTTACGCGGCACACAGGGGCAATGCACTCCCCTCGCCGCCATCTTCAGTCTCTATTTATTTATTTTAATTTGGCTAGTTTTTCCTCTTTGGTTATTTTTCCCCCCTTTATTGAGTTACCTCCAACAGTTTGTTTTGGGTGCTGTTTTTCAATTCCTCTTCTTGTAGTGTTTTGCTCAAAATGCCTTGCAGTGCTGGTTTTCTGGCTGTGAATTCTTTTAACTTTTGTTTATTGTGAAATATTTTAATTTCATTTTCAAATCTGAAGCTTAATTTTGCTGGATACAGTATTCTTGGTTGGAATCCATTATTTTTCAGCGTTTGAAATACGTTGTTCCAGGATCTTCTCGCTTTCAACGTCTGTGATAAAAAATCAGCCGTTAACCTAATTGGTTTACCCCTGAATGTAATCTGCCTCCATTCTCTCGTAGCTTTTAATATTTTCTCCTTGTTCTGTATGTTGGATATCTTCATAATTATGTTTCCTGGAGTTGGTCTATTACGGTTTTGAATGTTTGGGGTCCTATAGGCTTCCAGGATTTGGCAATCCATTCCATCTTTCGTATCTGGGAAGTTTTCTAAGATTATTTCATTCAATAGATTGTTCATTCCTTTGGTTTGAACCTCTATACCTTCTTCTAACCCAATGACTCTCAAGTTTGGTTTTTTTATGACATCCCATATCTCTTGGATGGATTGCTCGTGATTTCTTAACATCCTTTCTGCGTTGACTATATTCTTTTTGAGTTGATAAACTTTGTCTTCATTTTCTGATGTTCTGACTTCTATTTGATCTAGTCTATTTGTAATATTCTCGTTTGAGGTTTTAATTTGGTTTATGGTTTCCTGCATTTCTAGGATTATGGTTTGATTTTTTTTTTTAAATCTCTATCTCCTGGTAGAGTTCATTCTTTGCTATTTGAATTTGCTTATGCAATTCGTTTTCAAAGTATTCTTTCATTGTTTGGACTTGCTGTCTAATGACTTCTCTAAGATTCCATTCCATCTGAGTCAGGTATGCCTTGAGTTCTTTCTCTGTCCATTTTTCTGATGCCTCTAGGTTCTCCTGTAAATTTAAGTTGTCCTGCATTGTTTGTAATCCTTTTTTCCCTTGTTTTTTCATGGTGTTCACGTTACTTTCCAACTCTGTGTAACTGGTGTGTTTCTATTTTCTCCTATAAAGTTGTTTTGGTTTTGTATGTCTCTGTGGTCTCTCCTTTGTGGTGGCAGACTATGCCTAGAAATGTTGGGCTTTATTGTACTTTAAAGCTGATTCCTTCAATCATAAAAGGCTTACGGATTCTGTATGCATATAGTGATTTGTTGTTTGGTCTTAGGACTTTATGTTTAGGTTAGGTGCTATGATGGTATGAAGGTTAGTATGTCTTGGCTACTTTGGAAGATTGCAGGGGGATATTAACAGGCGATTGGATCAGGGTGTTTGGTAATAGCTAGGTATTTAGAAGCCCTATAGACAGCCTCAAAACGATCACCTATTTGCATTTAGACAGTTACACGTAATGGAAGATGTAATGCTTGGGATGAAAGTTGGGGGGAAGGGGAAGGAAGGAGCTCTTGAAAAGAAAGATGGAGAGAAAGGTAGATAAAATAGAGGAGAATGGAAAGAGCAATAAAACTTGAAAAGGAAAAGAAAGAAGTAAGGAAAAGGGGAGAGAAAAAAAACTAATAAAATAGAAATAAAAATAAAATGAAGTCTTAGAGAGCCATTTTCTTCTCTTCCAGTAGGCGGAGGTGTGCTCTCCCACCGAGCTCCTGCCTTCTATGTGCCCACAGCAATCCCTGTAAGGCGGCTCCTGGGAGTGTCTCTATCCTGTTAGTCCAGAGTCGTTTCTCTTCTCCTGCCCCTCCTCCCTTCCTCCTGTCAGCCAGCTAGACCCCCGCTCACCGGAGGCGCTCGCCAAGGATCTGATTACACTTGCAGCCCCACTGCGTGCCCTATTTCCCGAACAACTGAGCGCTCTCTCTGTTATTCATCCAAGCCCCAGTGCTATGGAGCGGTGATCTGGGAACCGACAGTTTAATTTTTCCGGACCCCTTTGGTGGGCACGCCCCCGGGAACTGGCGGCTAAGACCTTGGGTGTCGCTGCTGGTGGTAAGGGGAGTTGGGGATCGAGAATCCCCTCTGCTTCCCTCGGCCCCTACAGTCACGTCCACGCTGCTGGTGGTAGGAGGAGTTGGGGGTCTGGAGTCCCTTCTGCTTCCCTCGGCCCCTACAGTCACGCCCACGCCGCTGGCGGTAGGGGGAGTTGGGGGTCGGGAGTCTCCTCTGCTTCCCTCGGCCCCTGCAGACACGCCCACGCTGCTGGCGGTAGTGGGAGTTGGGGATCGGGAGTCTCCTCCGTTTCCCTCGGCCCCTACAGTCGCGCCCACAGAGCTCTGGATCGAGTTTTCCCAGCTGTATGTATCTGGTGAGGGTGGGAATCACACACCTGCTAAAGCCAATTCCGCTGGGAAGGAATCCTGTCCACTGAATTCTGGTGACGTCACCTGTCTGCTATGGTGGGCCCCAGGCTCCTTGCCAGAGTTTCCGAAGGGAGGGATGGGTCTGGCCTGTCTCTGGTCTGACCCAGTCTCGGTTGGTTTCGGTTCCAGGTTCGCTGTTTCATGAAGGCTTGGTTAGAGACCTCTTCATAGGGTCCCTACGCTGCACCTGCTGAACTGCTGTTCGCTGCGCAGCAGCGGCAGGTGGCGGGTCTGGACCTCTGCGCCGCGTAGCAGAGATTCACTCATCTGGGGCAAACTGTCACCTACAATAATCTTATAAATTCACCAGCAGGTCTCACTTCAGCAGAATTTTGCTAGAAGTTTCTCAGCAGGTAGAATCTGAACATATTTATGCGTCTCTCTAACCCCGTTATTGAGGAGGTACTGAAAGTGCTGCCTCCCCGCCCGCCACCATGTTGGGTCCACAAGTTTTTCTTGAGGCTCTTTCTGTGTGTGTGTGTGTGTGTGTGCACGCGCGTGCGTGCACGCCAAAATTCTTCAGTATCCAGATTATATTAGGAAAAAAAAAAACACAAGGAACTCACCACCATCTTGCTCCTTAGGTCCCATGTTCACTAGGCACTCTGTTTTCTTCTCTCCACTTTTTTCGTAGTCTTCATATGTTTGAAATTCTGAGTGTGTATGTGTGTGTGTTCAAGGGAGGTTGTTGTACTTAGCAGGAAAAACAGGGGGAGCAGAAGTTTTTTTTTGTATATGGAATATAATTATAAGAATTAAATACCATGTAAAACCTGTGGGCCAGTGCCTGGCACAACTTACTGGCTCAGCCGATGTTATCTGTTGTTATCATATATGTCCTTGTTATCAAGACTGGTCTTAAACTGATGAAACTTTTAACCAGTTCATTATGATGGGATCTTAAGAATGCTACATTTACTTTCTATATTTTCATTGATGTTGAATTTGAGGGTCATGAAGAGTATGGGCTTTGAGTGAAACAAACATGTTTCTATGAATTTTGTGTTCGTAGGCATATTATTTAATCTGAGCCTCAATCTGTTCGAAAAAGGCATTACCAATACCAACCTAAGGAGACTATTATGAGCATTGAATATAATAATTACATAAATTACTTACTATAAATCCTGGTACCTTCAGTCTTGTTATATCACTATAAACTATGAAAGTTCAGAGTCTCTAACTATACATTTGCCTATCAATGTTTATTGTTAACAGAAATGGAAGTTTTACATGTAGTATTATTCTCCAGCTTTTGGGTTTAAAGGTCCAAAAATTCTGCTTCATTACATGGATATAGATGCTGAATTTAGATGGTTGTGATTGTCAAAATTTCCCTCTATACCTAACCTTTGTCCTCAGTGTATTAACATGATCAAGTTTCTTCTATCTAAAACAAAACAACACTTCTGTTTTGCAATCCCTTGCTTTTGGTGGTAAAAATTTTATGCTGGGAGCTGCAATGACAGTTTGGGGAATTCATGATTTTCTGGCCTTCAACTCTCTTGGATAGCTGACCTCATGTTTAGAAAGTCTTTTTAAAATAAAGTTACATGTTCTTTTCCTTCCTTCTTTCAAATAAGTAAACTTGGATCAATATTTGCCTTTGTCTTCCTCAGTAAAGGTCGTAACTAGTTTAGTGCAATCAACCACTCTGATCTTTTAAACTAATTATCTTGTAAAAGTAACCTTCAGTGCTCCAATGGTTAACATTTTAATGCCTACTTTGCAACCAGAAGAAAATGGATGGGAGGGAAGAGGGATGCGCTAGGTACATACTCAAATAATTATTACTACAGAAATAATGCTGCTTATTGTAACAATAAGGTTAGTCATGAAGTGAGATCCTAGATAAGCTATGTATTTTTACAAGGTGTAAGTTTGGTATTTAACACAATTGTATAGCAAGAATGTTATGCCTCATAATATATTGTTTAATTCCAGTGAGCTCAACATTTATGAAAATTCAACAGGAATTTATTATTAAATGTTATGAAAGCAAATATTTAGAACAAGATTTAATATCGTGTGATTGTTGTTAGCATGTTTGTAAAATTGACATTATGAAGGTAGATTTTGAGGTCTGAAATTTTCATTAGATCTCTACTTCATTGGTGATTTTTTTTTTCATTCTAGTTCCAAATACAGATGGAATTGGCTATGGATAATTCATATGATTTCAACATACGAAGCTCATGTAATGGAATTCCATCTGAGAAGAAAAACAACTTCCTTGTGTCTGAAGATCATGGACAGAAAATCTTAAGTATACTGCAGAATTTTAGAGAGCAAAATGTCTTTTATGATTTCAAAATAATTATGAAAGATGAGATAATCCCATGTCATCGTTGTGTGTTAGCAGCATGTAGTGACTTTTTCAGGTACTTTACCTTGTCTATGTCTCAAATTTTATGATATGGATAATGAAGTTTATGATATGATTAGCTCACTTTTTTCTCCTCAGTTATTTGCACAGGAATATGCAAAATAATTTTTAGTTCTTAAAGAAAAACTAGATAAAACTAAGATTAACAAGTGATTTTTGAACAGGAGAACTTAAAACTACCTTTTCAAAACTTGGGCCTTCCCAAGCCTATATTTCCCAAAGTTCTAGGAAATCTTAGTCTCTTGAAATGTTCTGGGAAGTAATTTTTTTTTCATATAAAGTTAGTTTTGTTTAGGAGATCCCTGCACTATATTATTGTATAAAAAGATGAAATGATAAGTTGAACAAACATGAAAACAGTTCAAAGAATATGAGTTAGGAAAATAAACTTTGGTTGTGTATTTGATCCATGTAGTACCTAAGGGAAGGGGCTCTAACTCAGAGAACTTAAAAATTTCTCCCCTCTTTGGCAAAGATATTCCTATAGTAGGGAAAAGTAATTCTTAGCAAAGCATTTCTCTGTAGTACATAAATTGTTCTGATTATAAATATAATATAAATGTAATTTGGTTTCCAGTGAGGTCACCCTACAGATTCTCCTAGCCATGACATTACAAGAATCCTGTGATGGGCTGGGGATGTGGCTCAAGCGGTAGCGTGCTCACCTGGCATGCGTGTGGCCCGGGTTCGATCCTCAGCACCACATACAAAACAGAGATGTTGTGTCCGCCGATAACTAAAAAATAAATATTAAAAAAAATTAAAAAAAAAAAAAAAAAGAATCCTGTGATGACAGTGGGTTGCTGATTCTACAAGGTTAAGGATCAGACACATTGCCCTCTTATCTGATAGTTGTCTCAAGGTAATACTGTCCTGTGGAGCCTTCATGGACAAGTCTATTTTGGTAATACCATAACCTTCAGCCTTCCTGGTTACACTGCAATAACTTAAAATCCTAATTGCAGTGTTGTTCATTACGCTCAATTTTGGAAGCTAAGTACACAGTGTTTAAATCCCTAATAAATACATTTTATAAAAACAAAATAAAATTTAAAATACCAAAACAGCATGGAATTTATACTATTTGAATCTTAATTTAACCCCAATTTTCTAATAAGATCTCACCCTTATTTTCTTCAGAGTAAATCTTAGGTGGACATTTAGCAAACATTTTTTGATGTCTGCTACTTGATAAACACTCTGTAGGGTTTTTTACTTTGAATTTGGGAACTGTGGCTTAGTGCTGCACTGTTTACTGGGGACCAGGAAGCTACAGTTATTGAACTAGCCGTTTGCCTAATTATAAGTCTTCATCTATTCCTCTCATTTCTCGCTTTCGGTATTCTGAGTTATTCCTTGAACTCCATTGTGGCTTTAAGTGTTCTTATATCCTGCCACTCTTGGGTTCCACCAATGTCTTCCCTCCTCTCTTCTAATCCAGCTTTTCTTCCATGTAACTCTTCTGCTCCTTTATCCTTCATATCACCTCTTATTTAAAGGAAACTGTATAGTATAATGATTAAATACTTGGTCTCTTAATACATATGCCCTAATATAAATCCCAGTTCTGCCATTTGTTAGACATGTGACCTTAGGCAAATTAGGTAATCTCTTCAGGTGTAAGTTTTCTCATTTGTCAGAAATTAGGGTAATAAAAATAGGATCTAACTCATAGGATCATTATAAGGGTTAACTGAAATAATGTATAATAATCATCAGAGTACCCACTATATTTAACTAATATTAGCTGATATGATTATTATTTCTAAACCTAGCAAAAATGGAAATAATCTGATTTGGACATACAGCTTGATTTCCCTATATTTTCATCCAAATAAAGTAAGAGGTTTATGTAAGCATTTGAATTTCAGTCCTCTACTCTTCTTGTTGACATTATTTTTTAATTAAATGTTTATGTCCATAGTACTTTTTTTTAGCTTACACCTTATTTTTTATAGGACTCCTTTTCATTTTTAAAATTACTATTAGACTAATATAGGTTTCTAATTTTCTGCCTGTTTTAAATAACACAAATGACAGATCCTTTTATTAAATGAATATTTAATATAGTTTTCATTAAAAAATATAGATAGAAATTTGATCATTTATACTCTTGTAAAAAAAGCTACCAATTCATAATTGTACATTATGATCAAATGTACTCACTGCAATGTTGGAAGGAAAATATAATATTAAAATGTCAAAAAATGTGCATAATGCATGATAAATACCCTTGATTATGTTTTTGGACAAAGGAAATTATGATTAACATGTAAAGTCATTTGGAATAAGAAATTGAAAAGAATTCACACATTTTATAGTAACCACTTTATGAAAACAGGATAAATATAAGATAAATGTTGGCCAGATACTTTAAATATGAGTAAATAAAGTATAGAAATATGATCTTACTTCTGTCTTATGAAAAGAAATGTGGAAACTGGTAGTAAATCAAAAATACATTCAATCTTATAGAAAAAGCATTTGCTTTCTTTAAATGATAACACTAATAGCTAATACTTTGAATTGATTAACTTATTCCTCTCAAAAACCCAATGAAGTAGATAGTATCAGTATCCCCATCTTCAGATGAAGAATTTGAAGTAGAGGAAAGTTGTCACCTCCCCAGGGTCGTACAATTAATAAGTGGCAGAGGCTATAAAACCTACTCAGGCAGCTGGCTCTAGAGGCCATGCTCTTAATTTTACCCTAAAGTAACTATAGAGATTTTAATAATTAATATAATTATCATTATAGATTAATATCTTTCAATTAATATACATTATTTAAAACTCCTCCATAATATGTAATATGGATATACTAACTTTTATCACTATTTTCATTTGGTTTCATATTAAGAAGTATTGAGTAGCTAGTAGTTTCATATTAAGAAGTATTGATGTAGGAAGTAGCTTATCATTCTCCTTTTTCCTAAGTTGTATTCTTAGTTTTAGCATTCATTAGAATGCTATCAAGTATGTTTCATAAATGTATTTTAAATCACCGTAAGTATAAAGGAAACCTCCTTCGGGTATATTGAAAATTACAGAGCAAAATATTCCTGTTTACTTGTTCTTTTGTGTTCTTTATTTTTGCAGGGCTATGTTTGAAGTAAACATGAAAGAAAGAGATGATGGAAGTGTTACCATTACTAATTTGTCCTCCAAAGCAGTAAAAGCATTTCTTGATTATGCCTATACTGGAAAGACAAAAATTACAGATGATAATGTGGAAATGTTCTTCCAGTTGTCATCATTTCTTCAAGTTTCCTTCCTATCCAAAGCTTGCAGTGACTTTTTAATAAAAAGCATTAATCTCGTCAATTGTTTACATTTATTATCTATATCAGATAGCTATGGTTCAACCCGTTTGTTTGATCATGCATTATACTTTGTACAACATCACTTTTCTCTGTTATTTAAATCCAATGATTTCTTAGAGATGAATTTTGGAATACTGCAAAAATGTCTGGAATCAGATGAATTAAATGTTCCTGAAGAAGAAACAGTACTGAAGGTCGTCCTTAATTGGACAAAACATAACTTAGAATCAAGGCAAAAGCATCTGCCTCATTTGATTAAGAAAGTAAGATTACATCAGTTATCCGAGGACACACTTCAAGACTGTCTTCTCAATGAAGAGTGTTTACTCAAAAGCACAAACTGTTTTGACATAATCGTGGATGCAATTAAATGTGTACAAGGTTCTAGTGGACTTTTCCCTGATGCTCGACCATCCACAACTGAAAAATACATATTTATTCATAAAACTGAAGAAAATGGAGAAAATCAATATACATTTTGCTATAATATTAAAACTGACTCATGGAAAATATTACCCCAATCACACCTGATTGATTTGCCAGGGTCTAGTCTGTCTAGCTATGGAGAGAAAATATTCTTGACTGGTGGTTGCAAAGGGAAGTGTTGTAGAAAGGTTCGACTTCATATTGCTGAGTCTTACCATGATGCCACCGATCAAACCTGGTGCTACTGCCCAGTCAAAAATGATTTCTTCTTGGTATCAAATATGAAAACACCAAGAACCATGCATACATCAGTTATGGCTCTCAACAGATTATTTGTCATAGGTGGAAAGACTAGGGGATCTCAGGACATTAAAAGTCTCCTAGATGTTGAGTCATACGATCCTCTTTCTAAAGAATGGATATCTGTTAGCCCATTACCTAGAGGCATATATTATCCAGAAGCAAGTGCATGCCAAAATGTAATTTATGTTCTTGGATCAGAGGTAGAAGTTACAGATGCCTTCAACCCATCACTTGATTGCTTTTTTAAATATAATGCTACAACTGATCAGTGGTCTGAACTAGTAGCAGAGTTTGGGCAATTTTTTCATGCTACACTAATTAAAGCTGTCCCTGTAAATTGCACACTGTATATATGTGACCTTTCCACCTATAAGGTTTATAGTTTTTGTCCAGATACTTGTGTTTGGAAGGGTGAAGGGTCTTTTGAATGTGCAGGTTTTAATGCAGGTGCAATTGGAATTGAAGATAAGATTTATATATTAGGTGGTGATTATGCACCAGATGAAATCACAGATGAAGTACAAGTCTACCACAGCAGCAGGTCAGAGTGGGAAGAAGTTTCACCAATGCCAAGAGCCTTAACTGAATTTTACTGCCAGGTGATTCAGTTCAATAAATACAGGGACCCATGGTTTTCTAATCATTTCTAAAAGAAGTATGTGCTTGGACATTCTAAAACTACTCCATTCTTGTAACATGGTAAATCTGTTTGCCATAATGATTGGTAGAAAGGTCTTTACATCTTACTAAAATAAAATGTTCCTTCTATTACAGGACTACTATGTATGTATGCTAGCTATGAATATACAGTTCCCAGAAATTTATAATACACAATACATTTACCAAAAATTATGTTGAATGTAATTTAATCTTGGAGAATACAGAATACTTAGTATTTTCATATGTAAGTAAAAGTCATAGGCTTTGATACTTTGATTTTTTTTAAGTACTTCTCCTATGAAAGATTAGTTAAAACAAAGTTCACAGATTTGTACTATGTAGATGGGTAAATCTCTTGAGGTAGTAAAAATGAATTATACACACTACATTATAGGACGTGAAAGAAAGTATAAGTAGGTGAGAATCCTTGCTTGATACTGTCAGCCTAAGAGTTATTGAATTCCTGTTCTTTCTGATCTTAGGTTAACTTTTTTAAACATTTCTTTCTTTTACCTTTTTTTGGGCCAGAATTTTTCTAAAATGAAACATATTTCCCCATCATTCTAAACAGTAAACCTACATTAGTTTTTTTTTTTAGTAATTCAGCTTAATAAAATCATTTTGTACCAATATAGAATACCATGCTATTGACAGTTACTTAAATCTTTTAAAACTGATTATTTTTGTTGTCAGTTTAAATACTTTAGCAGTATACCTTTCATCATATTTTTTGGCTCAATAGTAAATTAACACTCCTTATTAGTGGTTCTAAGTTATACCTAGACTGAGTTTATCTTAACATGTAACACATGTAGTGATATTCTTATATTCTAGGATGGTAGTCTTAAAATATTTTTTTTATGTATCAATGTCAGGTTCCAACATAATTGAAGATATAGAAAATTTGACCTCTAGATAAGTGGATCTTATCATTCCATTTCTTAAACTTTTTTCAAATTTCAGCTACAGTAAGAAATTTTAGGATTTATTTGTCACCATATCAGTTTTCTGCAATAACATATACAACCTTTAAAGCACTATTCTGGTTTACTCCTTCGGTAAATTACTCATAGTAAATTAATTTCTAATTTAAAAAGATGACTAAGCTTTTTGGTATTGATAATAGTATTCACTACCTGTTTAAATGTTTAATTTTCAACTCAAGTAAAAAGAATATTGGTCTTGTTTTCAATAGATGGTTCTGTCTTGCAAGGAAATGTTTTTTTACTCAGTATAAAAGACATTTTACATTTTAAGATTCCTGGTTTATATCTCAGGTAATGTGTAGATTGTATTTCTCTGGAATCACATGTAGTTTCATATACTTAGTAGTAACTTTTAATCTGTAGTAAATATAAAGTGGAAATGTATTTAAATGAAGTTTCTTTTATTCTACCACAAAAAATTATGAAAATAAGTTTCAAATATATTTTTCAATATCAAAGAGAATTTAGAGTACAAACAGGGACTGTCTCCAATGAGGTGACAGTTACATAAAGAGAATTCTATAGAATTGGTGGCCTTCCTATCTAAGCACATGATTAGTTGGCTCTGCCCTTTCCTCTAGGTGTGTGTTTAAGAAAGAAAATTTAATGGAGGCTTCTCTATATTTGTGTGCCTTTGAAAACACATTATTTGAGAAAGACTATAACAGTAAGTGACCTATATTTGGATTTACTGAACCATTAATTTAAGCATATATTAATAGAGTATGTTTAAATATTGTTGTCATCACTGACTTTAGGAATTGTTCATCGCTTCCAGAAAGGAGAACTAAAGCAAAACCAAATCCTTTTCTGATACTGTTTCATTATTTTATCATCTTGATTTCTACCATTCTTCTCATTGGCCATTGCTTTATGGTAATGTTTCTAGAAATATCCTTCTTATCAAAATGTAGGTAGTTCCCCATGAATTTTGTTTTTTACCTTTTTCTAATGCAGATTTTCTGCCTTAGTTGCTACAGGGGCTGTGGGTTATTTCTTGATCATTTTCATGCATTGTCATTCCTTTATAGCACACCTTTCAGCTCTTCTTCAATTATCACTGTGAAGAAAATACTATGTCTAGTTATAAGACCCCAAACTCTTCCTGTATTCACTATTTTTTCTCATTGCCTGTGGGCTTTGCACCACTAACTGATCTTCTAATTGAATCTTGTTGTCGTTGTACTTTCATTTGATCTATATGCCTTAAAAATGATTCTGTCTTTAGATTCCTCAAGGAATCCATCTACACAGGTTTAGTGCTGGGTATATGCTCTAGTCTTGCCAATCATAGCTTCACTGTCTAAGAACAAAATGTATCATTCTGATCTCATCATTCTGGATTTCTGACATGCAAATCTCAGCAATCCCTCAAGTCTATTAACAGTACCTCCAAAAGGGGCCATCTTTTCTGTTTGTAAATTTAGGTAAGAAAAAATAACATTCTTTTATGAACTCTTCCCTTAGTCATTATTTTCAAATTCTTTCTTCCTTTCATTTTATCTTTCAGCCAATGCTACAGCATAAGAGACAATTGTGCTCATTTTCCAGATTGTTGTCATTCCTGTGGAGAAATTCTGCATAACATTTCTAAATTCATTATTGTTTGTCTGTTAGACTACATTTATATTATGCATGAAAAATTATTTGAATATTGTGCTATCTTTAAAATTTAAAGGTATATGTCAATAAGTATAAAAAGATTAATGTATGAGATAAAATTCAATAAATATTCCTAGAGTGACCTCTGGATTTGGGCTAAAATCTAATGTAACTTTTGTTCATCTGCAGCCTTTGAGATAAATAATATGAAGAATATTTGCATAATCAAAATTAACTGAATTTCCATAATATTCAACCCTGATACTGGAAAAGAGGGAGTTCTTACATGCTACCGTTGGAAGTTAGATTATTTGAGAGTGACTTTATACTGCAATATGATTCCATTTTCTAAGAGGAACAGCTGAATATGTATTGAGTGTGCTTAGCTCAAGGTACATCACTTGAAAATCAGAATTGCACAGAGAAATGCATTTGTTTATATTTTGATATTTGAAAGCAAAAAATACTGTGATGTAATGAATAAATAGTTAAATGTATAATATTACTTTGAGATTTTAATTGGATCTAGTATTCTGGAAATTATCTGTATTTAGAATTGAAGTGTAATATCCCAAATGTTTTTTCCAGAGGGCAGCTCTGGAGGAACTCCTAAACACAAGGGCTGAAATTTATAGGAAACCAGATTTATGTCTAAGAAACAACTTTACTCCACGAAGTCCTCTTTATGAAGTCCTACTTTAGAATGCGACTATTTATCAAGGACTGTGGCGTTTGACAAATTGTTAGCTCAGTGATTTCCTGCACAGGAGTGCATGACCAAAGATTTTTGCATTCTATTTATACATTTTGATTTCAATCATTTTCCTTATATGGACTAATTGCTTCTTCCTCTAGTTAGCAATTTAGATATCTGATTTCAATGGTTGTGCATACTCAAGATTTTTCAATAGGACCTGAGACTTCAAATTGTTTAATTTGAGGAGTATTTTGGTTAACGGGGATTTTTTTTTCTTTTAATCACTCAGGAAAAGTTGGTAAATGGTGCTGACATTTATAGTGAAATATTGACTGGGATTTTCCCTTATACTTACCATAGATGCATGTTTGTCTTATAGTGAATAAAAACTAAAAGCCAGTTTCTCTGAGCTTTGTTTTTATCTTCATGGAAATGTATTTATACAACCAAAGATAGTGATTTCCATTGATATTATTTAATTTTGAACTCTAAAAAATTATGTTTATAAATTATATTTGATGACTGATGCTTAGTCAAATTTAATAACAAAATAAGAAATTTAATCATAGAATGATACTATTATACATTTATCAAAAGGTAAGTCTTCTAAATCATAGACTTCAAATTTGAAATTAACCTTGAAATCTAATACAGTTTCCAATCTGGAGTAGAAATTCCCTCTAAATTTGAAAACCTGGACATGTGATTTTTTTTTTTTCAGCTCTCAGTGCTTTAAGAGGTAAAGAATCACCATCTTCATTTTTGAATTGTTCTATTAGAAACATTGGAAATAGCTCTGAATTGCTATAAAACTTCCAGCGGTTGATCAGAGGTTTCTGACTCTGTCTGCAAGTCATTCAAGTGTTTGAAACAGTACCATGTCTCTCATCCTTCCTAAACAGGCTCTCATTTTCATCTCCCACAAAGGCTGGATTACATACCTGTTCCTTATACAGTTGCCTCAGAGAATCTATCCCTTGCTTTTTTCTTTTCTTTTCTTTTCTTTCTTTCTTTTTTCTTTTGGTGGATTGAGCCTGACTAGCATTGCAGAATCTATTTCACATTTGGATAGTGCCTCACTGTCTATTCCCAGTGTACTTAAAAATTAAGACCTCTCATTCTCTCATCTATCTCTTTAGCTTTTGTAAATCCCACCAATGCTAGAGCTCTACTTGCTTTCTCACACAATCATAATCATTTTCTGAGTGAGGAATTCTAAAGCAAACTTTAATGTCAATCTTTTGTTATTTTATGTAGTTTTCAAATTTTTAGAAATACTCTACAAAAGATTTTAAAATGTAAACCAAAACTAGTAACCAAAGCAGTTATATAATAAGAAGTAGTCAATAAGAGGACAATTTTCTTAGCAATTAATAGAGACCAGCCTATGATGGTAACTATTTAAATCTGGAGATTCATTTATGGTGTTAGTTTGATAGAGAATGATATTTTCATGAAACAGGGTCATAAATAGCTTATGGGCCAGGGAGCTTTTTTCATTTCATTACCATTGACAACATTTCCAACCATAATACCTAACTAGCTCAACAAATTAAGCTATTGGGTTCAAATGTAACAAGGTTGCTGAAAATAACTCAAGAGTACAGTCTTCTGGTAGTGAGCATCCCATTGTATAAATATTTTATAAATGTCTGTCTTCCTCACATAACTAGAAGCTCTTAGGGATAGGGACATAGCTTCATCATTTCAGAATCCAGCAACTAGCACACTGCCCATCCTAATAAGGCACCCAACAAACTGATATTTTATTGAGCAATAGGTGAAGCAAAATATATTTATCATAGTTATAGTGTAATTGAATGAAATTGATATATCTGCAGTCTGTTTTCATGTACAAAGGAAATTATTTTATGTTAAGAGTTTACATTTTAGAATGGTACTACATTGTACTTCAGTTATCAATGTATGTGTTAATTCTTTTTATAATGCCTAATAATTGTTTATGTTTAAAGTATGAGAAAATTGGTTTAGGCCAGTTTCTATGACTTCAGCTTCTGTTTCCTTTGTTTACTACACAGAAAGGTTAATCAGAAGCATTTTTTTGAGAGTAAAATCACATTATTCACTATACTGCCGACCTTTGGAGAGCATGTATAGCTGATTGTATAGTCGTGTATGTATAATTAGTTCTTGAAGGTGAGATTACAGATTTAAAGTCATTTATTCACTTAATTCTTTAGTGCTTGTAGATTGTTTTGTTTTCATGAATTTTAACTATAATATCTTCACTCAAAGGCAATAATGGATAAGACAATGACTGCAAGTTTCTTTAATACATATGCAAGCCCCATTTTTCCTATAAGAGCATGATAGCTTCAGTGATCTTTCTCCCACTTGGGTTGGGGGAGGATAGTGCTCAAAGCTACTTGCACTGCATACACGGGTAACTTACTACATTTCTTTATTAGTGGAATGTGGGCTTTTGGATATGCTATGAGAAATAAAATCAGCATTTTTGCAGGTCCATATTGAACATACTAACATGTAGTGAAACTTTTCAATTCTATAAAGTAATTATTTATTAAAATGTATCTCAGAAAAAATATATTGTCTGTATGTATTATTACTAGAAATAAAAGAGGTAGAGAAAGGCAATGCAAGGGCTCTCATTTTCTTGCCTCTCTCCAGTGTCCTAAATTCCTGAATGACTCTTATGGGTCTCAGAATTACTGAGAACTATCTGGGATGGGAGGTATTGTCAGAAGGGGCTTCATATTTGGGATATGTGCAACCATGTAGACTTCAAGATGGACGACCTAGTCTGAAATGAACAGAGTAACCTTCTCCAGGTGAGTCATAAACCTCAGACCCTGACAGAGTTAAGAAAGAACAGATCAAATGTCCATGAACCACAGGTAACAACCACAAAAGCTAATCAAATGCACATGGTCTGGAACTGGTCAACCCTGACTCACTGGATGCTAGGCATACAAGAATAGGTCAGCTGCCAGGGTGCAAGCCTTTCTACCTCATACACCCAGATATTCATGGCAAGGAGCTACAGAAGGGGCCAAAGTCTGAAGTGTAAGTGATATTGTGAAGAGATTTCTAAGTATTTGCATTAGACAGAAACTCTCTTTTAAATTTATTCTTCCCTTTTACTTTATTGTTTTATTTTGATTTTTCCTTTCACTTGTTTATTGATTGATTGGTTTTGATTGGTGCTTTATAGGTCTACCTAAAGGTAGAATTCACCATGGTAATTCATGTCCTGTAATTTTCCTCCATTCTGGACAGGGCCATTTTCTAATCTGTTTTTGTTTTTCCTACATGATGAACTAAACTAGAAGTTTACTAACTGACCTTATCCCCCAGGTCCTTTTACCAAACTGTGGCCCAAATGGAAACAGTTCCTCCTTGGAAATCCAACTCTTAAAAAAATGAGTATTCTCTGAAGCTCTCTGATGCTATTACTAAAGTGTGATCCCAGCTTATTGCTCTGGACTTTTTCCCTTATTTCCTCTAATTCCTCCATATGCCCCCAGTTTTCTGTAGTTCTCTTTGCCTTCAAACATTGACTCAATACCTTCTTTTTAAAATAGAAGCCTCTAACACAGTTTATTCAAAATGTAAGACTATGTAGGTAATTGGCCTGCCACTAGGTTGTTATGGATGCTCCCCTTAAACCAGAGGTCTCTTTTAGTCAACATTTGAATACTTGCAACCCCCAAGCAAGTGAAGCTTTCATTTTAAGTCATTAAACATACTAGTTAATTATTACAGTCTGATGTTGGCTTTTGGACTTCTTTTCCTAAGTTCTAAACCAGGCTGAATTATCCCCCCTTTTCTCTAATTAAAGACAGAAGTGCTTCAGTGCCAAATTTCAAAAATCTCCTTTCTTACAGAAAATGAATTGTAAAAATCATATATAATATCAGTTTGTCACCTTTCCAATCACTAAGAATCACATAATATGAAACTATGAGATTTTATGCATTTGTAATATAAATTATAAAATTTTTGCTAAAAAAACTATTTGTAGCAATTTAGTCATTCTACTGATTTTAATTTGTTTACATGTATATTTTCTAGAGAAAGCAACAGTAAGTTTCACTTTTCACTAGGGATCCAAAAAAAATCTCAAAATGTTTGGTGTTGGGGGCTGGGGTTGTAGCTCAGTGGTAGAGCGCTTGCCTAGCACTGGGTCAGTCCTCAGCACCACATAAAAATAAATAAATAAAATAAAGGTATGGCATATCCATCTACAATTAAAATTTTTTTAAAATGTTTAGTGTTTGAGGTTTTCAGAACTAATATAAAAATTACTGGATTTTGAGGCAATGTGGCACTTGACCAGACTACATAAGGAACATCAACTATTTAAAACTGCAGACATTGTTATTAAATACTTCTTAGAAAACCCATATTTCCAGGATAAAATCATTCTGTAGATATAAATGTTGTGGTTTTAAACTTTTAACTTAATAAGCCCTAACCTAAGACAGTGAACTAAATAATATTTATAAAAATCTTAAAAATAGCTGTGGGAGCTATCTTAAAATAGATTTTAGACATAAATATTAAACAGATCATTCTAGTATCTATAGCGTTAAGTTCCACAGCACCTGATAAATATTTTTGCATTTCTTCCAAGGTCAGGGCTTGCTTAACCTGATTTTGCTCCACTGGTAATTAGTGAATCTTCCATGGGAAGTTAATTACCCTTCCATAACCCTGACCAAAATGTATGCTGTAAAATGAATTTAAATTTTTTAATCAAGAAAAGCCTGTCCCTGTGGGTTTTTCAGATTTAAAAATCCAATTAGCTTTAACATTTTTCCTTTTAGAGATTAACCAGCCTTTTCTACTATGAAACATTGATTGGAATTCAAACTATTTAGAGATTTTTTTTAAACAACCTTTTAACAAATCCGTAAATTTTTCATTTCTTTCACAAATAGTATTCACCTCATATCTACTCCATAATATTCTTCTATTTAAATATAGTTCACAGTTGTTTTGCAAGCCCATATTAATATGCACTCCTGCTTCTAAGAATTTTTGCAAAGAAATTCTTCAAAAAATAGTTTAAAATAAAGCATCTACATTTCTTTCTCTGATAAGTGCAATGGAATTTTGCAATGGAATTTCTACCATTAATGTACAGTGTCATACAATGTTCCAAAATTTTGAGTGTTCCTCAAATTTGCTTTAAAAAATTAAATAATCATCTGAGGAATGCCTATTAAAGCCATATCCAGGACCTTGATTTTGGAGATTTCTATTGAGTAAATTCTAGATTCAGGTTCTGGGAACCCACATTTTTACAAGCACAGCAAATAATTATTATTGGTGAGCAAGTTGGGAAACAAATGGAAATAGAGTTTGAGAATCCATATATGAAATCAGACACACCTGGGTTTGAATCTTGTTTCTATTGTAGAGAATGATGTATATGCTATAGAAGCTTGAACAAGGTCCTTAAACATTCTGTGGCCCAGTTTTCTCATCAGTAAAATTGGGATAATTGTTATATCTCCCACAAAAAGTTGCTGTGAGAATTAAATCATGCAAGTGACATGCTTGACACAGTGCTTAGATACCAGGAAATCTTCAATAAATGTCTCTGCCTCCTCCTTTTCTTTTTCTTTGTTTGATTTCATCAGATACCAGCTTTCCTCTAACTCTAAAATGCTGCCACAGTCTTTCAAGTAGACATAAAATATTAAGTCTGAAAATACCCAAGGCTACCTTAGCAAAGGGAATTCAGATGAAAAAGTTAAACTTTGACTAATGTACAGTTGAGTTTTGACTTGCCCTAAACATTCCCTCTTATGCTCAACCATGAGTTTCTTATTTATTATTCATTGAACATCCATTTTTTAAAACTCTTTCAGAGTGTTATCACTATACTACACTTGGGGATATAATGGCAAGAACACCAACTCTGTTTCCTGTTCTCCTTGAATCATTGAGAACCTTGCTGCTTTGGTGAATCTGTTTATTTTGCCTGTTACCTTATATTACTGACACTTGCAATTCGGTCCCATTTTTGTTTTCCATGTTTCCTCGGGGTCTTGAGCCTAGAAGGTCCTAAGCTTTCACATCTTCTTTGTTCAGATGGGTTCTCTAATTTGCACCTTTATCCACAGTTCTCAAGCTCAACAAAGACTCCTGTGAATGATGCCAAATTAACAGAGCCCGGCTTGCCTACTCACCCATGACCAAAAGACTCAGCCAGGCAGAGCTCTTAAACAGTCTAAAAAGGGGCAGGGATTTTAGCAGCCTGTTGAGAGCCACAGCCAAAGGGGCCCCAGCAAACTTCCAGCTGCCAGCAAACTTCCAGCTGCTGGCTGATGATTGGCTCACAGCGGCCCCAGCAACATCTAGCTGATTGGCTCCTCTGCGGTGATGCTCATTGGGCTGTTTCCCTGCCCTTTCAGACCATGGAGCTGCTCATTGGGGGACTTTTTTGGCTCCGCCCACGTGACCCAGCCAATCGGCCTCAAGAGCAGGAGGATTGTGGGAGGTGGAGAGAAGCTTGTGTGGGAGAGAGAGGCTTGTGGAAAGCCGGTGGTGGCAGTTGAGGCTCTGAGGGTTTTTCCTGAGAGGCTGTTTTGTTTGGCGTGTGTGGTTCTAAAAATAAAGTTAGTTTCTTTTGACAAGTGGCTCCTGATTGTGCCCAGCCAGACTGCGGCATTTGGTGGCTCGCACGGGGAGCGACTGAGGGTAAGTGAAACTGCTCGCCCCTGAGGGCAGGGCGAGAGGATGGGTAGCCATTTTAAGATTCCTCTTTTATTTTGCTTCACTTTTGTTTTAAGTTGCCTGTCCCTGGAGATGAGTGAGACGGAAGAAAAACCGCTCACATCTGAGGAAAAACTATTTACGTCTGAGGAACAGATAGGGAGAAAGGACGGATGCCCATGTCAGGAGGATAGAAAGGCTATAATGACTTTTTGTTGTTCCCTTTTTATTTCATTCTGTCTCGGTTTTGTTTGGCGTCATCTTGTTGGGTTGTATTATAGTAGAAATATGGGATCAGAAATTAGTAAAAAACAAACTGAAAGAGTGTTAAGTAAATTGTTAGAGGAAGGAGGCATCCCAGTAAAATCAAGAGCAGTCAGGGCATACGTTGATACAATACAAAAATGTAGCCCATGGCTTTTTAAGGAGGAGTTGTTAAATATATCACAATGGAACCATCATGGTGAAGATTTAAAAAGAATAGAAAAGAAAAGCCCAGGGACTCTGCCAGTTGGCACATTGCCATTGTGGACATTTGTATCTTGTTTGCTTAGTCCAAAGCCTTCAGTTCAGACAATGGTAGAGGAAGGAGAAGACATAATGATTCAAGTAAAAGAGAAGGTCTCTCAAGTTAGTCAGACAGAGGAAAAGATTCAAGAGAAGGCCTCTCAAGCTAGTCAGACAGAGAAAGAAAGTGTAAAACAGAAAAAGCCATCAGGGGGAAAGTTACAACCGGAGACTGCTACTAACACCTTTCTATCACCAGAGGGTGTAAGTGTCCAACCAACAGCGCCACCTCTACAGGAGACTGCTACTAACATCTTTCTATCACCAGAGGGCGTAAGTGTCCAACCAACAGCGCCACCTCCATATGCTGGGAGGCCCCCAACCCCCGCAGTTGATAGTTGGGA